CAGCCAGATATGTACAAAGAGCAGCTCAAAAAATAGTGAATTCGAACCCACCTGAAAGCAGGAGAATCCTGGTTTGACAGTTTAGTTTGTACTTTCATACAAAACTCAGCATTCTTTCTTTCTTGTGTCTCCAAATACAATTTTCTGAAAATTTCAGCTTTTTTTTCTTAGAAAAAGGAAAATCACAAATGGAGTTCATTTCAGTAGTAAATCACAAATGAGGAGTGGTTGTGTGCATTATCTATTTCACTTTTGCATGCCTTCCTACTAACTTGTACACATCAACCTTTTCAGCCATCGTAATTCTCCATCTCTTAATTCACTCTTTTCTACCTCCCCTATTCATCACTTGGACTAATCTCTCTGGGGAAACCTGCTTGCTGCTTAACCTTTCACCCCAGAGTTAAACAGCTAATTTCTCTTTTCTAGCTACTGATCCAGGCAGCAGGTTAAACTTGTTTTTTGTTTTTAAAGGCGGGGGAGGTGTGTGGCAGAAGGAGGCACAGTAGGTTTATGTGTTAAAAAAAAAAGGCTTTTATCATTACCTGCAAACTTCTTCACCTCAGTAACGACTGAAGTTACAATTAAACTTGAGTGTAAGTCAGTCACTCAGCGTTTAAATGCAAGGAAGTTAATCTTCCTCAGTCTTGTTAGAGACTATTTTTATACAGCCTTTTAACATCAAAGCTAGAAGCCAGGCATTTAGTGCTCATACTTGGTTTACAACCTGGTCTTTTGAGCTGAGGGGTGCACACCAGCTGGATTTCTAGAACACTTTAAATGCAAATGAATTGTACGTTAGGTATTGGTTTTCTTTAAGACTTCCAAAGGTCATTGAAAATGTACAAGGTTGAGACCTTTGTTACAGCTGAGTATTTTTATCAAGTGATTCATTTCCTTCTTTTCATTTTGGTTTTTCTCTTTCGCAGCTTCATAGCAGTGGAGAACATAGAGAAGTACTGTGTTCTGATCTCATCTAAAGCTGTTTATTTCCTCAAGAGTGGTGACTACACCGACCGCGAAGCCATCTTCCTAGAAGTGAAGTATGATGACCTCTACCACTGCCTTGTTTCAAAAGATCATGGGAAAGTGTACGTGCAGCTGACCAAGAAAGCTGTTAATACAAGCAGTGGTGTAGCAATGCCAGGCCCATCACAACAAAAACCAATGGTAAGGACTGGCGCCTGTTGGGACTTCCACGCTGGGTTTCTTTCCCCCTCCATGCACGTACTGATGCCAAAAGTATTTCTACTCATCAGTGTTTGCTTTCTTGCACTGTTCAGTAATGAAAACTTCATTCTGCCAGCAGTGAAAATAACTGCTGCCAAAATGGTTGCGCTGAGTAGAACTTGTTCCATGAGCTCCTGAGAAAAGTTGAAGGTAAAATCTGAAATACTCCTGAATGCACAGGGTACATTAGGAAAGATTTCTTCAGCTGAGAAATAATCTTAATTACACGATACATGCAGTTAAGCACTGTGCTATTTACTGTAGTGCTCTCCCTGCATACATGGCGTCTTCCAAAGATTGGAAATCGATTGTTGATGTCACACATGCAAAAATTACTCAGTATCTCAGCTCTCAATGTCCTGGGTTTTTGCTTCATTACAGTAGTTGTTCCAGGTCTGTTTTACTGACAAGGTTACAAGCTCACCCCTGACCTAAGTCAGTTTACATTCCAAACAGAGCAGCCAGATGAAAGGTAGGAGAGGAAGCAAAGGAAATAACTTCAGATATTGCAAGATGTTTCTGTTCCCACCCACTATCACCGAAACTCTTGTTACCTGTCTCTCATTTCTTCTATCCCTCATCCTCAGCCCTGAGAAGATTTCCACTGAAGCACTTCTATACCTTCAAGCACAGCCATGCAAATTCCTTCAGTCAGTGAAATAAAAATATAATGGTGCCTCTTTAACAACATCTGCATTTATTTCTGCAGGTCAATGTGAAATCTGAAGTTCTTGCAGTGAAGCTATGTCAAGAAATAAACTATGCAAAGAGCCTTTATTATGAACAACAGCTTATGTTAAGACTCAGTGAAAATCAAGAACAATTAGAGCTGGACTCTTGAAACATCTTCCTTACTGCCAGAGTGAACTGCAGGAATCAGTCTGGAGCTGATGGTATTCTGTAATTAGAGAAAATACTATATGGGAAGGAAATAAATATGATTTTAGTATTTAACTGTATGGAATCATTGTGAGTGGGCTTTTTTTGGTTTTGTTTTTAAAGCATTAGTTGTCTAACAAAGATGCAGCTCAAATGCATTCAGTTCTGGGAAATGCCTTGTATTTTGCTAACATGTATATATGTAAAAGTGTTTCTTGTAAATAAGAAAGTCCAGACCAGGGTGTCGGTATGAACACAAGTCTGTTTACAGTGTAAAGAAATTAAAGGAGCGATGCTGAGTCTTACTGCAGCACCTGAAGCTACCTGTTCCTTCCCTCTCCCTCTGCTTTTCACAGTTCAGGAATGTATGTAAGGAGTGTTTGTTAAAAAAAAAGTTCACTGCAGCTGTTGGAGCACAGAAGTTCTGTAGTTCTTAGCTTTAACACTGTGATTAGGGTGCACTGTTTTCTGTTGGTTTTTTTTTTTCTTACTGTGAGTACAGCTAACCTGTACCTCATATTGCACTGAAAGGTCATTGCTTTTAACAAAATAATTGCGTTCTGTAAAATACTGCAGAGATGACTCACTGGCTTAATTACATTTCCAAAATACTAGATAACAAAAGGCTGAATCTGTTCTGAATCCAGAACTCAAAAAACCTAGCAAAGTCTGTACCTCTGAAGGCCCCTGCTTTCGTGTTGTTTGAAAACAGTTCAAGCGAGCAGCCTTGGAAACTGAAATCCTTCCCTCCACGTGTTTGTAGTTGGCTGCTCAGTGCTGAACTCTGCTAGCACTGGGAAGTCAGGGTGGGGAGACATCACTGCATCATTTGTCTTAACTTTTTGAAATAATAATAATAAAAAACCCTCTGCTTTTTCAAATGCTGCATGTCACACGAGTGTTTGTCTCATCAACTACCTTTATTCCCAGGAACTAGGGAGTCCCCTGGAACCTTTTCCAGAGGGAGTAATGAGTCTGTCTGTCTATCTAAGAGGGAATAGCCTGAAGATAGTTGTAAGTAAAACTGTTTTTAACTCCTGTAATATGAAAGGCAGAGGACTGCTGTGTGAGGACAGATGTATCAGTGGATGTGTGGATGGTCTGTCACTAGAAATACAAAAGGCCCGTTATGCAAATGAAACTGATTTAATGCACCACTTTTGTATGTTTCTCTGTATAATTTTTAAGTAAAATGTAGAATTCAACAAGTGCATTGGCTCAGCAGTGCTTTAACCAGTCAGTCCTATTGGATTCTTGCTAATCCCTGCTCCTCTCCCCTGCAAAACTGTTTTCTTCCAATGCTGCAAAGCCTGGTTGCTAAAGCAGGTAAAAGGGGGTAGGGTGAATAAAAGCCAGCTCCCAGCAGAATGGCTTGCATAGTTTGTTGTGCAGCATCTATGTAAGGAGTGGGAGTGCAAACACCTGAGAAGTATGGCAGTGCACCTCAACTCAGTGACTTGAACTCAGAGAACTACAGGCTACAATGGATTTGATTTGTGTTTTCCTTCGGAAGGTGCTCAACCTGTTTGGGGTTTTTTTGGCTCGTGATAACAATTACTTAAAGCTTCAAGAAATGTACCCACTGTCTCAGATGTACAAGAGGGCCATGGACTGCAGCTGGCTTAGGCTACTCAAGTCATGTTACCATACTGTTCCAGCACTGACACTTTGCTCCTCTCAGCTACAGTCAGCCCACTGACTTTTTTTTCATTCATACAGAGTCTCTCAAACAGGTTTTCTCTTACAGACACAGCACTGATTACTAGGAATAACGTTAGTTACACTTGCAGGAAGCACACTGCCTCTTGTAACATTCCAGAACAAACTGAACGAGAACTTTGTTGTTTTTTGTTGTTGATTGCTTTCTGTCTTTTTTTAAGCTCAAATGATGTTCCTTGTTGCTGTAACCCAACTATTTTTGGATCATCTCAGAACTCCTGTGGACTTCCTATTGTTATTGGCACCATTACCATTATTACTAAGTGAATAAGTACAACTTTCAGATTCCAAAGGGCCACACTCAGAAAATAGTTTGTAGAGGAGGAGGTGCAGAGAAATTATGAGCCTTTAGCTTTCACAAAAACTATACACAAACTGAGACAAGACAATGTAATAATTCCACTTACCAAATCACGTGAAGTTCTGAGCTTTATGAAGGCAGTTAAATGTCATTCAGCCTGGCTTTATTTGAGGAGATAGGAATTGCGGCCATGAAAGTAGATTGTCTTGAAATTTCAGAAGCTGTGGGAGAAAAAATTGCTGATGAGAGAGAATAACACAGCTTCTGTGCTACAGCAGTGCCTCGCAGTACATCACCTCAGCTATAGAGAGTTAAGTCAGTCCAAACAGCACACCACAAAGAATGGCACATTAGCTATTAAGCTAATCAGTGATTGAGCTAATGTGATGTGTGAAAAAGGCACCCTCATGTTTCTAACATTTCTGCAGAACTATGTGGTCCACCATCACTAAAATGAACCAGGCTTGTGACCAAACTTTTCATGTTTCAACTATGTCAAAGACCACAGCTGACCACCTCATTTTTTTTTTCTAGAAGCAATTCTGGACACACAGAATTACAGAGCTCCTTTCTGTCCCGATCTGTATCAAAAGCTGTGGCTGCAAAGGTCTGTTTCACTGCCTCAGACCTGACAAAGCAATCGAACCACTGAGAATTACTACTCTGAATCACTGATGTGTTACTAACAGGAGCAGTGACAAGGCCACTAAGACTTCTTTTTTTCCTGAGGAAGCAGTATTGCTAACAGGAGAAATCTGGTAAACAGTCTGGGTCTGCAGCAGCATAAACATACAGAAAACAGATGCATACCATGAATGGTAAAAGTGGAGAGAAAAAAGGAAAAGAAAAAAGTAGCATCACATACCCTACCCATAACATAATTCTGTAAGTTTTATTCCTGTAGACATTCCTTGCCAGGTAGCGGGCTGCAGCACATCACAGGTGAGGGGAGATCAAGTATCTGTCTCCCTTGCTGCCTCTGAAAGAGAAAGGCAGGGGACAGATTAGAAGAAAGACTTTAACAACCCTTAGGCGCTCAATTCCAAGTAGGAGTGAGGGTCTGCACGTACCAGGGTAACATCAGGCTGAAACAGTTTTCACAACAGTCACTACTGGACCATAAACAATTCTGTTACCTACTCCAACTTAGCCATCTTTAAATAAATTACAGGCAATAAACCAGGAAATACACAATGAGATATGCCTGAAATAAGCTAAACAACATGCAAGATGTGGACAATATCCTTCTTTCTGCTCTTGAATTCTTTTCCAATAAATCAACTTGATGATAGCTGAACAGCTTAAGTTGTGAATGCTGTTTAATCAAAAAGTGCAGTGCTTATGTTTTTGTGGAGAGAAAGTAAGTGGCTGGAAGTTCCACATCTCACAACAGAGAAGTAATCGCAATAATCACGACAAGGAGTTCAATGTATGCTCTCCCATTTCCCAGAGGTGGTGTTTTCCACCACTCAGCTATTCTCTCACCAACTGAAGACTTGGTCCCCGGGATCTTGGATCAACTCCATAAAAATGTGTCTAGAAAAAAAAAAAAAATAAATAAATCCTTTTGTCTTCTCTGTAACAACTGCGCACTGACCTGATTCGTACAGGGCATGAAGCACCAGATGACGACACCCTGAGGGAAAACCTTGCTTGCTCTGCTTCTCTTCCTTAAAGAACGTTCCTGTATTTTCTAATCACGGCTAATTCAGGTACCTGGCTCTGAAAAGCAGGGTCTGGGCATACACTGCACTTTACTGGCAGTTGCAAAGACATAAAAACAAAAGAAAGGGCATTTTTATTAATGCCACAGTTAATCAAATACTGCTTAAATAACATTGCTTCTTACAAAGAATGACACCATATACATATTTGTGTGTGTACATTTATGTAATATATCTATTTCTTAGCCTTACCTTGCAAAGTGATGGCCTTACTCCCCACACTTCCATTCTTAAAAGTATAGTTGCTATAAACAAGGATCACTGAGTCGTCTTGTCTGAAAAAACAGACAGGGAGCAGAGCTTTGCACTCCAATCCATGCTTGGTGGTAACTGCTTTGTCAGTACACATGATGCTGCTGTTTTATCAAATATGGGGCTAGGATGAAAACATCATCAATTCCCCATGAATATTATTGGTTCAGATCTATTCCAGCCTGCTGGTAGTTGGCCCAATACTCTGGTAGCCTTAACAAGGAATCAGGGCAGTTCAAATCTACCTCCTCGCTAACACTGCAGTTACCTCGCAGAGACAATGTTTCATTAACAGAATCCAGGCCGGTTTCTCTAGCACTGAGATGTACTCCTTTCCTAAGGTCTTTATCATCAGACTTTCTGAGTGGGAGAACGTGAGTAAAGCAGCACCAGATGTGCACACAAGGCTGGGTCCTCACACTGCCCCTGGGTTCGCACGGCTGTAACACAGCTCAGTTACTCATGAAAGGAGGCCTGCCAAAAAGGGGAAAAAAAAGAAAATTACTCATTAACCACTGACAAATAGTGAAAAAAAAAGATTATATTTTTTCCTATTTTCCCTCAGTGGAACTACAGCATATTCAAGTATAGAAGTAAAAATAATCCTGGCGCTAACTGCAGTTACATAAGAAGTAAATGCCTACTGCATTGTATCAGTTCTATTCACGGCCTGCTGTGCAGCCACACTGTTGTCTCAGTGCAGTCAGACTCTGCTATCATAAGGGAGTGCTGAGGCTTTCTTGTAACAGGCACACTGCTGCCCAAGCAACATGCCCAGCACAAGCAGTTCTCTCTGTGGATAAGAACAACCTTGCACCTCCGGCCTATTCTGGTCTGACTCGAAAGTACTAAAAGGCCATGAGAGAAGTAAACAGCTTTCATGTGCGTTTACACTTTGGATAAATGGATGGGTCACCCAAAGGACAAGGACTGTGTATGGCAGCTACAGAACAATTGTTTCTGCACACTAAAAATGCCAGCAAAATCAAAAAATAGTAAGAAAAGTCCCCTGGATATTGCAGCTGTGGAGAAATTTTAACAAATCTATCAAATCCACCATCCATCAACCCTCTGGAAATAGCAACAGCACTTGCTTTGACCCTCAAGATTGGCTCACCATTCCTAATGCCTGTCGTTTGCCAGCAGCCTTGAAGCAATCTGCAGTCAGCAATGCAAACCACCAGGTACAGGGTAATGGTGCAGCAAAAATTTCGCCCCAGACTTTGATGAGGGCAGAGCAAACAACAAACTCCACACCACTTGCAGGAGAACAGAACCATGTTTCAGTAGGGCCAGGCTCCTGACACAGCAACCCAAAATACCAGGGAGAACATCAGTGATTTCTCCCTCCCTTCCAACAAGCACCACCGAACCTCACATGGGCTTTGAAAATGTTTGCAGAGTAACCAGAACAGAAACTGCAGACGTTTCACAAAAGCATCCCAGCACTCACAGTAGAAAGAGCTGAATTTGGCCCAATTACAGACGTATAAACTGAAAAATTGAAAGTAGTTTAGTACCTTGACTAAGATCCCATAGTGAAGTACAAGGCCAACGTCAGAACACAGCTGCTGCTTTCTCTTCTTTACCTCAGCACAGTCTGATTGCAGCTTCACAGCACCTAGAAGAGCCATTAGTGCAGCACAGCATGAGAACAGGCAGCAACAAAGGATGGCTGGATGGCTCCTTCCTGTGATCATGCATCACCCTGCAGCCACCTGCAATCTTCCAGGCAACAAAAGCTTTTAACCAAATTTGTAATACCTATTAAGGAATTACGGTGCTGCTTCTTTTCACTCATTACCTTTTGTTCTCTCTGCTAAGCACGCACTGGAGCGAAGCCGATCTGCAGAACGTGGATTTATGCACCAGGAGCCCAGAAGGCATCACAAGATGGTACACAAATTCCCACGGCATCACCACTGTTGGAATGCACTCAGAATGGGAAGATGAGCATCTGTTGGCAATGCAGAGGTTATACAGCTCTTTGAAATATTCACCACCAAGGACAAGCAGCATAGCAGTGCTGCGTTCACCCAGCAATCCTGGCATCACTGTTTGCTGCGGGTTCCTGCAGAAAGTTGAAATTACCCACAAAAGCACAACCATACACTTCCCGTGCACACCAGCATGACTTCTGCACCTACCCTTTTCTGCCCATCTTTCATACGCAAATGCTGAAATCCAAGCAATGTGCAAGAGAAGCCATGCTGTAACCAATCACTGACTGCTGTATTCCACAGAAGAAGCATCTACATCCTTTCCGGGTTACATTCGGCCACACTTCTTCCCACTGCTTGCACTGTAGTAAGCAACAGGCTGCCACCACAGGCTGCCACCACAGGCGGGACGCACAGGAGGGTCCCAGCATTGCACACAAAGAGAAAAGGAGAGAGGAGGTATTTCTGGAAGCCTGGCTTCTCTTCAGAAGAGAAATGTTTCCCTTGGCTTGTGCAAGTTGCTCAGACTGTGCGCAGTAACAGGCTGAAGAAGCCAGCTTTCCATTCCCTGTTCCATTACTCTTTTTGATTGGCACTTTAATGAGGGCGCTAGGGGTCGACCCCCTGCCAGGGGGCTGGTTCATGCCCCGTTTATCTCACAGTCCATGTAAGACTAAAATAACACGCCAGGCTGAGTTTCACTGCCTTGTGATCCAACAGCCCACCATGATGGATTGAGTGACTGCAGCAAGTTGGCAGCTAAAGTGTGTTGTAACAGTATCTTTCTGTCAGCGCAACACAATGGATTTGCTGATTCCTGGGTTTTCCCAGTGTTCATCGTTACCATCGGCACAGAATTTTCTAAAGTTCATTTTCCAGAGGGCTGCAAACTGATAATAAATAACATACCAAAGGTTACACCATGCTTTTTTCCCCCTCCGCTGTCCTACTGCTGACGAAGTAGGGCTGTGGTGCCAGCTTTACTGCAGATGCAACAGCCATAAATTCCTATCACTTACTTTTCCAGAAAGGGCAGCTCTGACACTCTCTTTGTGTGAGTTCATCCTGCTGGGCCAACGCACGGCACACAGGGCATTTCAGCCCTGAACACAATGCTGAATCCAATGCAACACAAAAGGATGCTGCCACGTAAAGCAGCTCTCTCCACAAGAGCCACAGACTTGTTTTGGGGCTGGGTTTACAGCGTGCAGAGACATGAACATCAGCGTGTTTGTGCTGGGCATCCAGAACTGATCCAGATTTGCCCCCTTCCACCTCTGATACTCAAGATCCATATAACTCTAAGCAAAATCAAGTGGGCCCCTGCCAGCAAAAAGAATGACTAAGAAGGTGAATGCACAAGAGAAATGACAAAATGCACACAGAAGGGACTTAAGCAGGGAAGATCAAAGACAAGGATGCAGGGATATGAAAAAGGGTGTAATGGGAATATGGGGCCACACTGAGGAGTTGGATGAAGAACAATATATGGCTGCTCCCAACAAGAATTTGCTTTTTACGCTGATGATGTGAATCACTGCACAGCATAGAGCTCAATTCAAGGTGCAGGAGAAACAAGCTTCATGAGTTATACATCCGTATTCGTGAAACAGAACAAACATTCTTCACTACAAACTGAAACAGCAGCAGCGTGATACGGTCACTACTGGTGCAAGTCTTTGCTAGCTCAGAGCAGGTAATTACCCCAATACCTTGCAGAACTTCCCAGGAGAATCTAGCTCAGAGTTCTGTGCACCCCAGCACCACAGCCTGCAGACACATTACTCATCTAGCTTTGAACCTCAGAGGCTGCCAACAATGCCGACACAGCAGTGAAACAGAAGATGTGCTGTGAAAGCAGTTGGAAGCTTTACTGAGGCCAGCGCTTGTCAATCCACCTCTACCTTGCCAGTTCAGCTCAGCCCGTATCTGCCTACACAAGCTGCTGCAGCCAAGCCCTAAGAGCTCCTCAGGGGAGGGCGAGATACTTACACCTTAGCACAGTAACACTGAGGAGGGCACACTGAGCATACAGCCAGAAAGCCTGGGAATTATTAGGAAAAACGAGTGGGTGGGGGAGCTCAAGGGACCAGTGGGAGGATGCGGGAAATCAGTAACACTGATTTGAATAACTGGTAACAATTATTAGATCTTTTTCAGTATGAATCATCTCTCAGAGACTCACCACTTGAATGATGTCACTCAAGGGGCAGTAAAAATACAGTAGAAGAAACAAGCGTGCCCTGAAACAAGGGTTTCGAGCCGTAAGGTGAAAGAACAAAGTGGTCTGAGAAGTGCTGCAAACGTGTCTAAAAGGGAGAAACTTTTGTGGAGAACACACACGTTAGCAGGCAGGTTGAACAAGCTTTAGGAAAATTATGGTGTTACTTAAAGCTCTGCCAAATCTCTTCAAACTGATGGAAAAAGCGTGGTCCTCCTTATCTGGTGACCGCTGAACTTGTCCTTGCCCCATTCTCTCTCCAGTGGTGACATCTGCATTTGAAAAACAACAGGCTGTAAAATTAGTCAGCCAGAGCCATCCCGAGGGAACAAAACAAAACCAGAACAACAAACCAAGGGCCCCAAACAAGCAAACAAAAACATGACTTTAAACACAATCCATTCTCCGGGTTCACCAAATGTACAGAACTGCTTCTGTCATTGCAGGGGATGGGGCAGCAGAGAGCAGTGCTGCCTTGTGCAGATTTCGACTGCTACTTTTACTTTTGAAACAACTGCATGAGGAGAAAACCTGCAAAGTAACCAGTGGCATCAGCAACAGGCTGATGCAACAGGCAAGCCCAGAAACTACGCTGCAGTTCATACTCTTTTTCTCCACCCCTTCTGCTAACACACCCCTACTCTTCCCCATCTACAGAAGAGACCTACAGCCCCTTTCTGTCAATAGGAATACCAAGCTCGTGCACCCGTTCTACATTCATTTCTCACCTATCAGAAAAAACACTGGAACTTTAAGAAAGCAGAATGACGTCCCTGGCAGGAGAGGAGTTAGTGAGCTCTAACTGTAACAGTGGGCTGCACCACAGCACTGCCATTCCTGCCCTCTCGCTGGGTGAACCCCCATTGCTCTGGATGCACCAAGGCATGTCACCAGCTCCCTACCATCCTATGGCAACGCTGGGCTGGCCTGAATGACCAACATCTGGTCTGTGTGGCAATGGCCATCTGAGCTTCAGTCCTTCCTCAACATCCAGGAATTTGAGATACAAGGGAGACACTGTCAGCACTGCTTTGCAGCCAATCTCCTAATGTAAAGCTGGCAGTGCCTGAGGAGCTGTACATGAACTCAAACGCACATGAAGAGCAAGAAAAACTCGACCTCCTTCCCAGATCCAAAATGGGGGAGGGAAGCCATCCTGCTGCACTGAGCAGAGCAGAAAATACTCACAGCTCTAGGAAGGCTCACAACTCCCTGAAGTCAGTGCTTATCTCAAGGTTTATACAATGTCCCTTCCATTTTAGACAGAGCTCCTGGCATTTACCATCTGAAAGTTCACTACCGATAAAAGGCTCTTTAAAGCCTCTGCAAAGACCTCTGTTTTATGGAATTTAGGCACGCTTACAAAAATCAAGGGCTGAGCTCCCAGAAACGCTGTGCAATAGGCACTTCAGTGGGTTTCAGGCCTTCCTCACCTACAGTGAGTGAAAAGGAAGATCAGAGAACAGGAGTTCCAATTTCAAAACACTGACCCGAAGCCAGAGAACTACATTGGAGGATTTAAGCACTCTACTGGATGTTACTTTCCAACAAAGCTGCCACCCCACTAACTTCAATTTGCTTGGAGAGTTCTTGGGAGAAGAAGCAGTGAAGATTTCAAAACAGGCCAACAGAATAAATTCTGCTCTGGATTCCGTACCCCTGGAGGAAAGTCCATGATTTATATAGAGGTGATGTGAGTAAGGGCCATACTCTGCCACATGCGTTAGTAACTGAGAGCAAAATTAAGCTTAATGGTTAGCATAATGCTATGTTTTTACAACATCTGTCAGCAATCGTTTGTATTTACTTGCACTGCAAATGCAGATGAAAAGTCACAGAAATATAAACATCAGAATTCACTGAATTCCCACCAGCCCTGCATCTTCCCACAAAGACTCTCTAACCATTCCTGTTCAGGCACTGTTTGCTCCCTGACCTCTTCAGCATGGAATTTCTTCCCCATTTCTTCTCTATGACCAGGAATTACTGGTAGAGGTTCTACACCGGAACAAACACTAACTAACCCTATGGCCATATTAGCGTTAACTTCAGTGCTCTTAAGACAGCAATCAGATCTTTTCTGGGCTCAAAACAACAAATCAAACTCCTTTCAGTTCCTGCTCTCTCCTTGGCCATGCCTCACGCTACAGCAAAAGAGAAGACAGGGAAAGCCAGGGTTGTGCTCTACTTGAGTTGTACTCCACCTGTGCAATGCAGGGTGAGCAACAGGTTAGCTGGGTGAAAAGTTCACTGCAAGCTGAGCTGTCTGTTTCTCTTGCTTAATTTATCCGATATTTGGCTAACCTTGCTCTGAACCCAGCCCCCAAGACCCCCTTCCTCTCATCCCTCCCCAGCGGGCTCATGTCAGCCAAAGACACCGCCCCTTCTCCCTTCTCCCTGACCCTGCTGAGCGGAGCGGGGGCTGGGACACAGGGCCAAGCACAGAGCCAGAGTCCACGCGCTGGAGAGATAGCAGTTATTTATGCTTCGAAACAGGCCTCGTGCTCAGGAGCAAAAATATAAATCCTACAGCCAGCAACATTCACTTGGTATTGTATCCACATTTATCAGTTCTTCCGAGGCCGGATGGCACCCAGCCTGCACCCACCACACCACTGTGCCCCGCCGCTTCCAGAGATGCAGCACTCCTTGTGACCTTCATGCAGTCCACAAACTGCTCACACAACACACTGTACAAAAGGCTTTGTCCATCCCTGCAGGCTGACCAGTGATGGTGCCTACAGCTCCCCCAGGCCCCCCTCCTGTGCCCAGCAGTGTGCCAGCAGTGAGCCCTGAGCAGACTACCCTGAAGGCTCCAGTCCCAGCAAACACAAATTCTGCGTCACCTCCAGACCACGCACGTCACAGCTCCAGTCAGGTGACACAGCCCACTGGAAACACTGCCCAAGAACACGGCTTTCTGAAAGGTCTTCATTATATTCCTGCTGTGCTCAGGACTGCTCCCAGCAATCTCCAGAGCAACACAACGTGTGTTTGATGGCTTTCTCAACGCCTGGATACATCATCAGAAAACCAAACGCACACACCAAACCTGCCATGCTTTTGCTGCTCTGCTGAGCAGCTGGTACTGCTTCATCTAGGACTGTAAGAATCAACATGTTGTTCCATTCACCTGCTGGCACTCTGGGCCTCTATGAGATGGTGAGCGAGCACGTGGCTAGGCTGCTAACAATACATGTTTCCTGCTGTAAACCTTAATGTCATTATGCTCTTTAACCTGACCAAGCACTCTGTAGCTGTCCCACACCCAGGCTGCTCCTGCAGAAACTCACACAAGCAGCACATTGCTGTTAATGGTCTGTAACATCACTGCCCTACACACTACTGCAGTGCCACTGGACACACAGAACAAAGCTGCAGTCTCACTGACGGGGCAAAGAGGAACAGCCTGACAGCTTTACAAGTAAGTGGAAATTCCTTGTGGTCTAAGAATAATATTAACTGGCTTCTCAGGATCACCAAATGACCTCGCCTCGACACATAGGTTAATTAGTCTGGAAGCAATGCAGATTGGAGAAGTTCTGATGTGGTCACTAATTTAGTGACACCATCCATTTCAAACCTCACCACTCCCACACCAAGGTAGCACAAGATCAGCCTGTAACAAAAGAGTCCTTGTTACTGAAGGAATCCCAGGCCCTTATCAAAGAACAAATCCAGCATCCCCCACCTAACCCCTGCATATTTTCAAGGCATGAAAATTGCTATGAAGAGCCAAGTAGAGCTGTCAGGAAGACATCAAACTTCAAACAACCGCATTAGAAAAAAAATCAGACGTTACACACCAAACTCTCAGCTCACATTGCATAACTCACCAGCATCTGTATTTCCCAACAGCAGACCCAGTGCAGACACCCTCCACTGCATCAGGACCATCTAATCATTAAAATGGCAGACAATTATTGCAACTGCCCATAGCAGCAGTTCTTTGTGCTAAGTTTTCAAGCTAGAGGTTTTAACATCTCTTCAAAACCATTCACAGTTAAAATAGAACAGGAATGACATGGCAGGCATCAATGATAACATGTAAAATCAATTGCAGAATGCAGGTACCCCACATCCAAGCCCTGTGCTCCTTCCATTTGCTGCACAGAAGAGCAAAATCGCTTTGAGAGAAACCACACCAGCATGGGAACATTAAGGGTAAGCTGAACTGAAAGGCAGCTCAACTCGTGGTTTAAGAATCATCCCATTAAAGAAAAAAAAAATAAAAGAAGCTGATGTGATAATTTTAATCTTTTCGGCTTCTCCCAAAAGTCCAGAGAAGTCCAACATCAGGAGAGGGCTTCTGAAATCCCGGCCATCCCTAAATGGAACAGCTTTCACTGCAGAAAGACAACCTGAAGGAGGATTGGTTGAACTTTAAAGGCAACAGCCTTCTTTTCAATGTATCCAACTTAAAGGATACTGTCATTTGTGGGAAACAAAAAAAACCCTGGCCCTCCCCCTCACCCACAGCAGGAAAACCTAAGGCAGAAACAACTGGACAACTGGAACTGAGCGTTCTGGTCTCTCTGGCAGATTCTTTGATTCTTCCAGACTGCACAAATTGAAGACAAATCTCTTTCCCCTAAAATGGCAGCCCTTCAAAAGCACGAGCCCTCTGCCTCCAGTTAGGGTTTGAGAAATTTCCACTTATTGCCTCTGCCATGAATGCCTGTCTGTGTTCACTCTGACAGCAGTCCCTTATACCTAAAGGGCAGGTTACCAAACGAGGCCTACAGATGTTGTGCTCAAAACCAAACAAAATAAAATTATCTCTGGACAACCAACTTCCACCAGAACAGCCTACAACATAAGACACCTCTGCAGATGGAAAAGGTGAAGAAACACAGCGCGATGGGAGACAAATTTGTCACATCAAAGTCAGCTGTAACAAAGGACAGGTGTGGAGAGACAAAACCTTATCAATCCACAAGTCGCCTCCTATTTATTTCCACAGAAACTACAACCAAGAGCATAGTAGCACTATTTGACAGAGCAAGTGCCCAGCTACAAAACACTATTTTTCAGCATAATCACCACCACAAGATCTGTATTTTCACCAGTGATGAACAACAGCCTGCATACTGTGCTCATAAAGACCTGTACCAGCAGAGGTGACTGCTGCCACTGCTGAAACCAACCTCCCACCCATCTCTCTGTGCTCGCATCCACTTTTTGTCTCCATAAACGTTCAGTGTCAAGGAATGCCAATGGGTGCATTCTTTTCCACAGGGAAAAATTCAATTACACAGCTTTCCTTCAATTCAAAAGAGACAGGGGTCTTCTAGAGCATCTAATGGTGGGCCACGAAGATGATCAGGATTACCTCCTGCGTGATGAAAGGCTGTGAGATCCTGGGCTGCTCAGCCTGGAGAAGGCAGGACTCGCTGACCCCAAGAAGTCCCTCCCAGTCCCTATGATTCCCTGATTCATTGGCACTTCTATGTCAAACACCATTTTGTCAGACTGCCCCTCTGCTGCCAATCTGTT